GAGAGGTGGAGGGGGGGGAGGGTGGGGTCCGAAAACGAAGGCAGTGATGAGCATAGGTTGAATGTATTGTTGAAAAAGTGATAAGTGTAGATTATGAGTTTTGACTACTTTAGTTCCTTCTCGACGAGACGAAATATGCAGATATTATGAATCAAAATCAGTGTGCCATTCTTCACAGAAAACAGCCTTTCTTCTTGATGTGTTTACCCCATGTGTACAGCATGTGTTCATGCTTACATACGATATTGTGAAGTGGTTGCGAATGAATTATGAGGGAACCACAGCATTCGAACAAAAAAAAAAATACAAGCACAGCAGCATATGGGAATTACGGCAAGAACGATTGTCTTAAGAATTCCATTAGAAGGAAGTACGGTATCTTCTACCAGAAAACGACGTCCCACTCACCGCACCCGACCGCGCGTATCCGCGCGCAATGAAGGAAAGGGTTTGAATTTCTAGTGAAAGGATAAGGCAGCCTCCGCTCTACCATGCCGCTTGACGTGGGAATTCTGGGAGAAGTTCCGTCACCCGTTTCGAAGGCTACATTTCTCTGCCTGGGTCTCGTAACGATTCGATTATTCGAAGTCGCCTCAAGGAGAACATATGAGATCAAGCTTGAAATTTCATAGTTCGGAATTCAGGAGCAATCTCAAGGCTGGAAAATCTGGTGAAGATGGAAATTAGGCTCGAAATGAAAGGGGACATCATGAGCGATTAGCTTGACCTCTTTTAAAAGTGTGATGCCTGCTTGCTATCAGGTTCATGACAGAACTGAGACCGGAATGAGTCAGTAAATTGCTGTAAGCAATGCCATTTTTTAGCAATAAACCAACTTTAAATGTACCATAGCAGTATGTGGTAGACGAGGCTATCTTTTCAAGATCCCAAGAATCCCAAGAACCCAAGAACGACGGATCCCAAGAATCTTTGGAAGTTTTTACTTGTTACAGCCAGCCGCGATGATTTCTAGAAACTCCTCCTACCTTCCACATTAGACAATGAATTTCGTAGAGGTCATGGGGGCCAAACTTGAATGCCAGATTCACTCATAGCATTTGCCCAATAATCATAATGGTAGAGCTGCTTCACACTTAGACTTATGTTGTTCTACATCATCAAACTATCCTGAATTCGTCTTTTTATTCAAAGCCTCGAACATTCACAAGTTCCTGCAGTTTCCAAGCAACACGCAACAGATATAACCTATAGAAACTTCTTCCAGATCATGGCAGGCGCTGAGGTAGGAAAAGACGTTGTCAAGAAAAGGCACCGAACGTGCTGTAGTATTTGCCACATAAAATTCGGTAGGTTTCCTATTATCATTTCTGGCTCGAGATTTCTTCCATCTTCTCTCCATCAGACTCCTTGAGAACGTAGTTTTCCTGGTAGATGAATACCTGAGAAACATACTCTATGTATTTACATACGTATGTATGTTAATGCTCACCCTTAACAGTGTTGGAAGGACAAGAGAAAAATAGTAGAAGCAGGGCTTTTTGAAAAATCCTCCTGTATAATCCTCATGTTCTGTATAATAAACAAAATTGGAACCTGCATTCACGGAGGAAGAATGTTCATCCAAACCTAGATAGCTGTAAAGACATCTTATCAGATATTCTTGAGGTACTGCATTTCTCGGTGCAGCCGAAGCCATTGTTTGTGTCATGGTGCTCCTCAGCGCCATTCGACAAATCGTATGGAAGAAAGGAGGCTCACATAATTGCTCCGATAAGTGAGTGATTTCAACAAAATCCATCCGTTACTGTCAGATTTCGGGTAACTCGATTGGTTTTCGTTTGTACGAAAACTAGGTTTGATTTTTTGATGTTTTATCGATATGTTTTTTTCCCAGTTATGCCTTTCGCACGCGGAATAAGCTCAAACTTGAACATAAACCTAAAACTAGCCGTAAACCAAATGGAGCATAATGCTCAGTGTAGGATGTAGTGTTGGTCAAATGAGGCATAACTCGGAGGTAATACAAAATTCATTTTCACGTTTTTATGTTGTCGAAAGGCTTCAGAGCTCATGACAATGGCGGTGTGGGGCAAGGTGTAACCCGAGACTAGTTGCTGGTAATATTATATGAGCGATATTAGAAAAAAATCATAAGGGGGTCAGCAGGCTATTCCTGACGACCGTCCGAGAACGAAGTTGTTTTGACGAAATTCCCACCTCTCTACTGTATTGAATAGAAGCGGCCTCTAATTCGATGATTTGCAAAATTAGATGGCTGTCAGCCTTATAATTGTATTACACATGCATTCATAATATAATTATTATTCGGAGGCAATATCAACCCCATTTGAATTATGACACAGGGAAAGGGAACAGATAATTGGGAGGTAATTTCGGGGGCCTGTATTCAGTTCCGTTCACTTGTATCCGCAATGCGGCGTGGTAGTTAGCTTACCCTATGCAAAGGGAATCTAACCAATAAGTGGAATGTGAGCTGGATGTTGCTGAGCTTTTCTATCATATGTGTATCTCGCGGTCTGGAGTCCCCAGCAACGCCTCATGACAGAAAAACCTTATGTTAGTTCAAATCTAAGTCAACCAGCTGGTGGTGTCTTGCGACTCACCGTCGCTGTTACTGAAAGTAGCTATCAGGAGCCAGAGGTCAGAGGTGTTCACCAGATATGATATCTCACATTTATGCCTGACTGCCACTACCAGTCAGAGCGTTATCTCTGGGCTTGACGAGTTCGAATCCTGAATTCATAGATGGGCATTCTTACCTTAGAAAAGTTCTTGTTCATTGCAACACCCTCTGAGCATACCCTCTGAACAAAGATCTACCCTTGAAGACGAGCTCTCCACTGAAACAGAAGGTTACTTCGATTCCTTGCTGTGGGCTTGTTTTATGTACCTCGACAAGAAGGCAGGCGTTGAAAGTCAATCACTGTCGAAAGTGTCCTAGAAGAGCGTACGGTACCATATTTTAGATGTGTGGCCCTCAGGGCTCACATAAAGGTACTAACGGTCAGGAGTCAGCAGTAACTGAAAAAATAGTCATTCCATCCTGTTGTTCGAGATGTACTCATGATTAACTGTTGATTTCAAGAAATCAAATCTATAAAAAATAAAATAATTATAATCTACATGTGTCATTTACATTTACAGGACAAAATACTTATCTTTGGATTTATGTTTTGTGAAACTTATTTTTGAATTTTCAGAGTATTCGAAGATTGCCTCATATTTCACTTCAGTCACTTCGACATAACTCTCATATTTGATTACATAGTAATCGCCATTATAAGTTTTATGTTATTCAGCGTGAGTTTTTTTTTNTTTTTTTTTTATTAATTAGAATCTACTAGTTTAGATCAAATGGGATGACATGATTTCTGGGCTTAAGAATGGAACTTATGATGTGTATAAAGCTTTGATAAGGGAGAAAACAAAAAAAACCTAGTCAACGGGGAATTCCTCCTTATCGTTCCAATACACCACCGTACGCCTTCTCTGTGAATGGGCGCACGTGGTCGCGCTGGTAGGCTGCCCTGCCCTTCAAACCTCAATCACCCTAGATTCGTCTATGATGGCTTAGATGTAAATAATCTACTATAAAGGAAAAAGCCGGCGTTAAGCAACCCGTCTCCAGGCTTTCGTGTCACTTTGGGGGTACCGTTGAGCTCGAGAGACAGACTTGCAGACTTGCTATGGATTCAGAATAGAGCGAATTCGTAGCAAAAGTAGCGACATTGGGACTCTCTGTGTCGGTTCCCTAATCGCCATGAACAAAGAACCACACAGTACTTCGCTTCGCTAAGCCACCATCAACTTGAACTGGAAAGGAGTGAGGAATTTCACCAAGGGATGTCACTGATATATGCATATGTAATGGCTGTGCTAAACTCATTTCTGTGCTGTCACGTTGTTGATAGAGGTCAGAGTACACGCACAAATGAAAAATGGAAGTGCAAGGCACCTGATTCTCAATGAAAACGCGATCTCTTCGAAACTCTTGAGGGTGTGTTTTGCAGGCTTTGTGTGTAAATGACGCAACTGTTCCCAATTTGATAAATGACATGTGGACGGCCCTGTTGGAATGCACGCATGTGTCCTCACCTAGCACTCAACTCTTACAAAGTGAATATGTGACTTTTGAGCATGAACACTAGTTTTTAAATCCTCAATGCCCTAGAACAGCTGAAACTTTAAGGGTACCCATCAGAGTACTGCCACAGCAGTTTTTGTTTATTCAATATAGCTGTGAGCGTCCTAAAGCGCATAATGAATAAAGGAAGTGCTTATAACCAAGAGCTGGCTTCGCAGCTCTTCGCACACCTTTCAGCCCTACCCAACCATTGCCCTTCATTTTCGAAATTTTCTCTATTTCAGATATGCCTTCTAATGTATGGAATTTTGACCGATACATCTTGCCTTTTGCTTCCCCATATTCTAATTCAAGCTGTGCTACTACTATTCTCCATCGGCTACTTTTGTTTGTACGCTGTTTCCTACTTCTACGGCGATCTTTACAAGCACTCAAGACCATTCAAAGTATGCAGTTTACTGTAAGAACTGAACTTCAATGAACATCAAACTTTTTAATTTGGCAAAGCCAAGCAAAACATTCTGAAAAAGTGTTTCATCAGCCAATTCAATCTATAGACGAGACTGAAAACACTGATTTCTGGTTTACTCAAAGAAATCGTACTTTCGTGAACTGCTGTCTGCAAAGCTTTGACAGTCTGACAGTAAAGACTGGCAAGGAATACTACTCAGAGCCGATCTATAAGTGGGAACTACCCTTCTGTGCCACCACCCACTATAACACTTAAGACTGACTTCGATGAGTTCAAGTTTTCTGGGACTGGGCAGATGACGCCTTCCATGTCGACTTGGGAATGTCTTCCTACCTCTTGCGGGCCCTCAACCTCACTGGTTACTAATTCACCGGTTTGCTAATTTGAGAACTGTTTCTCTTTGCCTTTCACCGAAAATCGTCAATAATATGTGTTGTGTGATCGACTCTTTCCTGGACATCTTAAGTAGGGCCAACCACGGGAACTATGACGTAAATGCTAACAACAGAATGTGTTCTGATTTATGTTTCCATAATATGATCCTTTTTCCGTTTGAATGGAGGAGCTCCTGCCCAACGAGCTTGTGTTTCACTTATGCGATACACTCCTACGTTCGTTTTCAGACTCAGGTTTCATTTGAATGTTTTTAAGAAGGTGGAGCAAGGCAGAAAGCTCACAGATTCAACAGTCGCTTTCCTCTCTTAATAAGTGAAAAAAATCGAAAAAATTCTCGAAATTTATAGATCCAGTCCATTTCAGATCTACCCTTCAAGAAATTTATCTCCTAAAGTTTGGTCCGGTCGTTTAAAGCTTTGGCAGTTGCACTGTGATAGTGAACGTGATTTTCAGTCAATTCAATTCATTGAAAGGATGTGGCTGGCAACGCTGCTGCTTGCACTGGCTGCTTTCCAGACTTACCTGTTTTCATCAGTCATACGATGCAGTATGTACATATCGGTAAGCCGTCGTTATAAAATCGTTATAAAATCCCTATACATAATATGAGGTGGTGGTCTTGAGTCACGAAAGCGATTGATGTTGTTTCCGCTGTGGGTAGGCTGCGACAGGTAGGATACTAGGCCTCGAAGAACTTCTCATTCGCTGTAAACCTCCACTCTCCTGAATGATGACAACAAGGGGAGATCACTTTTCACTAGAACCAACTGTGTAAGAATGACAAAGGTGAAAGTCAAGAAAGCACACAACTCTCAAACACAGATGTGAAAATCTTTGGAGCACGTAACTCCTCAAAGTTGAAACTAATTCGCCCAAGTCCACAAGCACAGTCAGTAAATGGGCGAGCAGAAAGTTGAGGTGGATTTCTACAGTTGGAAAAGAAGGCGCTCATAATGAAGGGTTACACAAGGTAGAGTGAGTCAGCAGAGAACCACTCACAGCCGGTACCTGGCGCATTTACCATAAGAGGCATTTGCATTCCTACTCAATGATTTAATAAACCGAGAGCCACGTATAAGGTGGCTGTATAAAATTGAAAAAATATGGTACTAGATTACATTTGCTTCAAGTACGCCAGTGTTAACTCCTTTACTCAGTGCGATTGAAAACGGACGGTTGCTGTGCTTTCGGTGTCCATTGTACGTGTACAGGGTGCGCCACAAATATGGTAACAAAGTAATTTGGCTACAGAAACAGCAGTTAACATTG